CAGAACCTTAAGGGAGCAACCTTCACAGAGGACATTGGTAAATGGAGGCCCAGTGGTGACAGTTGTGCAGCAAGACTGGAGTGACATCTAAACCGAGGTGAGCAGGCTGGGGGCACCTGGGATGCCGATCTCCAAGAACACAAAGGAGGGAGAAGAGGGAAATGGGTGGAGAGCTTGGAAAAAAAGCTTGACACGATACAGATTTAAATTGCGTAATAAAAGCGATCAGCAACTGTAGAAGGAAAACCAAATCAGAAGCAAACACAGTCATGCGGCAGATGGCTCACTACACGGAAGCAAAAACAAACAGCAAAAAAAGCCAACACTCGCAGCAGCCCAACAAGGAATGCATTCTTCAGTGAAATTTGAGACAACCTGCAGAGGAAGGGCAGGTGACTCTCCTGTGGTCACAGAACAGCCTTAGGGTGCTGTGGTGGAGTCTGTGACGCACGAGCGGGTACCCTCAGGTGTTGAAAGCCCCCTAAGCCAGAGGTTCCCTAGGGAGCGGCAGAAAGACCCCTGGTGTGAAACTCTGCTGTTATTTCTGCCCGGTCCTGCTCCTTTCCACCCTGTGCTAGCAACAAACTCACTTTCCGGTCTGTGTCCGGGTCTGCTTCTGGCAGCACCTGCCTCTTGTTTGGACGCGGGCTCCGCAGCACGGAAATAGGTGGGATTTAAGAGCTGGACTATTAGCCTCCTGGACCCTATCTGAATTGTCTTAGGGCAAGCTAACAGTGCAATGCTAAATACCCTTCACAGTGGTAACTTAAGTGGTAATTGGGATGGAAATGGGTTAGCTGAGATGGAGCAGATGTTAGAGGTGGAAAAAAAAAATGGTGGACCACAAGGCTATTGCCAAGCTTGATAGATAGCACTTTGAGAAAGGATAAACAAAGCTAAGTGACCCACCAGCAACTGTAGATAAACATGGAAGCCAAGAGCCTTGCACAGCAGAGATCGCTACAAACAGGAGGATTAGGTAAATAAGGAACTCCATAGATAATAAAAAGCAGACTTCTCACTGTTGAGAAGAAACTTATAAATATAAAAAAAGGATGTATCAGCCGGGCGGTGGTGGCGCACGCCTTTAATCCCAGCACTCGGGAGGCAGAGGCAGGCGGATCTCAGTGAGTTCGAGACCAGCCTGGTCTACAAAAGCTAGTACCAGGACAGGCTCCAAAACCACAGAGAAACCCTGTCTCGATAGGCCTTGAAAAAAAAAAAAAAAAAAGGAAGGAAAAGGCTTGGGCTTCCCCAGACAGGCTAAATTATATGGGAACATTGCCAGAAAACTCAGCGTTCTGAGAGGCAGGAAAGCTGGTTTCACCACACTCACCAGGCCCTAGCTGCCAGAGGACTAGACTTTCCACGCAGTCAAGATCCCAAAGTNGACTTGGGAGGCAGAGACAGGTGGATCTCTGCAAGTTCAAGACCAGCCTGGTCTACAAAAGCTAGTACCAGGACAGGCTCCAAAACCACAGAGAAACCCGTCTCGAAAAACCAAAAAAAAAAAAAAAAAAAAAGGATGTATCAGTCAGGGCTGTCTAGAGACCCCAAAACCAAGATATTTGCATAGATACAAATGAAATTTATTACATGCCTTGCCTCATGCAGACAGGAAGCCAAGAAACACCTCAACATGTGGTCTGGAAAATGAGTTTAGTCTGTGTCTGAAAGTCGGTGAATCAGAGAAGCTGGCGGTCTGTTTCCTAGTCCAAGATCAAAGGCAGGAGAGAAAAATAGGTGATAAAGAGGTAGGGGCGGTACAGGTAGGTCTAGGACCTAGAACCAGGAGTCCAATGTCTGAGGGTAGAAATAAATGTCACTGCTCAAGGAAAGTGAGAGAAAGTTCTCTTTGCCGCTGCTGCTCTTTTTTTCCCACTTGATCAGGCCCTCATGAACTGGATGGTGCCCACCCATGTTTCGGAGGGCAGATCTTCTTTACTAATCTGAAAACTACCCCAGACTCACCTACAAATGTTTCTGCCAGCATTCTGGGCATCGCTTATGCAAGTTGTCACGTAAATAAATGACACAAAATCTGTCAGGAGCCGTTTCCTCCTAAAATTATTACAGGAACCATCGCCCTGGGGAGTCTGCAGAGAACCCCACACCCCCAATTGTGTTAAGAACCGTTCTATTGACAGAGCCTACCCCACACTCAAATTAGCTGTTAATAGAGAGCTATCTGTTGGCGGAACCCGCCCTACATTCCAAACTATCTAGAGAACTAGGTGTGTCAACTCGTGACTTCCTGGCCTGCGTGACCAACGGGAACCACGCGGCAAGACTCCAGGCCCCTGTCCCCCCCCCAACTCCTCATCCTATATAAGCTGTACCCTGTCTCTAATAAACGGAGGCTTTGACAAGAACCCCCACTTGGCCTCCTTCTTCTCTCTCAGCCCATTATCTTCCAGATAGTACCTCTCTGTGACCCTGGAATAACTGACCAGCCAGGCAGGTTACAACCCCTAGACTGAGTAACCCGCCAAGGCAATCTTATAAGTAGAGGGAAAAAAACCCTGGAGTGCTGGATTGGAACCAGAGACATTGCTGTAAGCTTGAATTTTATTTCTTAAAAAACAATTTATGTGTATGCATGTATGTCTGCTGATCTTATATGTATATGTGCAGGAACCCAAAGAGGATGCTGGATCTTCTAGAACTGGAGCTATAGGCAGCTGTGAGCTGCTATATGGATGTAGAGAACTGAACCCAGGTCCTCTGAAAGAGCAGCAAGTGCTCTTAATTGTTGAGCTGTCTTTCCAGCTCCAAGTTTTATTTCTTCTCAGTAGTCTATATTAGTATAGAAAAAATGGATTTCATCAATCACATTCACCTCCTTCTTTCCCGATCCTCTGAATTCCGATGCAAATTTGTGTTTTAAATGAACCTAAAAGTATAAAATATAAACATGTGTTTATATATGTGTAAGGGTTGTATGCATAGTTTCCTCGATCCTTTTCTTTGGAGGCTCTAGAAGCAATGATATTTCAGTAGCAATGAGCACACAATAGGCTTTGGATTTTGGTTTCAAAATCCGCTCAGCCCTTGGGAGGTAGTTAAAGTCAGGATGATCAGAAGCTCAACGTTATTTTCAGCTACATAGTCTGAGGCCAGCCTGTGTTGCAGGAAATCTATGTTGAGAGGAAGGGAGGGAGGAAAAGAAGAGAGAGAAGACATGATCTCAGGATCCCTAAGGTGACATAAAAACTGATACTTGTTAGTGTGGATATATTTGGGGTTCCTGTCACTGTTGCTCAGAGACTGGAACTGGTGGTATTTGATGACAACAATGTATGTCATTATACTCTTACTGCAATTGATCTAATGATATTTGTAACTGCTTATAGATGTTGGGAAAGGTTTGACACACGCTGTAAAATGTTTGGGTTTAATGCATATGTTAAAAATTTTAGATTTAGACCCCTTTTACACTGCCCTAATTTTCGGCAGGCAGCACACGTAATTTTATGTGGAATAGGCATCTAGGAAGGAGATATACCTTAGGCCAGACTAAAAGGTGAATACTGGGTTTGGAAGGTGTCCCTTTCTTCTTGTCTGGAAGATGGAGTTATTGGTGCCCAAAATTATATCATTATATCTTTTGTTTGAGGAGCTTCTCACAGTTTTTCATTAATGATAGACACAGGGGCCCAATGACGGGAGTTAGTGTGGATCCTCACCTGAATAGCACACCATACAGAGGCTGTAAAGGCTGGCTCAACATGGCATGGTGCCAGGTACGAGGAACGCTCTCCACATGGCCTAAGACAGGATGCCCTGGGTCAAAGATCTACTTACTTTAAGTCTTGCTAGATACCTTTTATTTGAGAAGCTCCAAGGAACTAATGCTAATCATAAGGCACCCCTCTGTTCCCAGGAGAGGTAAAATTGCTTCACCATTCCAGAGAAGGGTCTTTTCTTGTCCCAGACCCTTCTCCTTTAGATCTGACACCATGGTTGACTCTGACTTGGTGCCCTCCACTTAATAGCTGCTTGCCTTTATATGGAAAGGGGAATCTGGGTTCAGGTCCCTGTTCAGGCGCCACTGTCGATTGCGTTTGGGTGGGTTACTCAGTCTAGGGGTTGTAACCCACCCTGCAATCAGTTATTCTAGGGTCACAGAGGGGTACTATCTGGAAGAGAAATGGGCTAGGAAACAAGGAGGAGGCCATGCTAAGTTTGTCACAGCCTCCGTTTATTAGGGACAGGTTACAGTTTATATAGGGTAAGGAATGGGGAGGGGGCACAGGGGCCTGGACTCTTGTCACGTGGTCCAGGTCATGTAGGCCAGGAGGTTACGTTCGGTCAGGTAGGCCAAGAAGACACGAGTTGCCACACCTAGTTCCCTGGATAGCTGGAATGTTCCGCTAACAGATAACAGCTAATTGGGTGTGGGGCAGGTTTTCTCAATAGAACGATTCTTAACATAATTATAGGTGTGGGGTTCTCTGCAGACTCCCCAGAGTGATGGTTCCTGTAATGATTTTTAGGAGGGAAATGGCTCGTGACAGATATAGAACCCCAGTGCAGTGGAGGTGGAGACAGGAAAAGCCTCAGGACTTGTTTTTTTTTTTTTTTTTTTTTTTTTTTTCTCTCTATTGCTCTTTGGGGGGCCTGCCATCCAGCTCCCAAATAAATCACACAATGAGACATCTGAATCACATGTATTTGGTACATGACATGCAAGTAAAGAAAGCACTTATAGACATACAACAAATCTGAAAAAAGTGTGGAGTAATAGCGGAAGACCCCTGAAGCCAACCTTTGGTCTGCACTTGTAGATGCACGCTTATACATCTATGCACAGTGCATGCTCAAACGACTACACTAAGTGAAACGCATACATATATCTTTGAAACATTGAATATAATTATCTTTCTCAGTAATTGGGGAATCAGCTGTGAACTTGTTGTGATACAGATATTTAGAAGGATGGTTAACAGTTTACTATGCGACAGATAATTAAGGAACTCTGTTTGAGTGTCCTCCCCAAGGCCTGAGGCGCCAAAGCAACTCTGGGAAGATGCTTAGCTAAGTGGGGTGCGGACACTGGGATCAATGAGCTAAGGTCCTAAGCCTCTTGCTTGCTTTGGGGAGTAAAAGGTGATGGCGACAGCGACGCTAAGGAATCTCAAAGAGAGCCGGTGGCAGGCACATACACAGCCAGCACCGCCGCCGACCTCCCGCCACAGGCGTCGCTGTGCGCTCGTGCGCAAGCCGGGGGAGCTGCGTTGCCGGGGAGCCGGCGCTCGAGCCCAGCGGGGGGTTTCAGTTTCTGGCGCGAACTTCCGCCGCTCCGAATTTGCAAGGCAAATTGGCGCGATGTCTGGAGATGGCAGTGGCCGCCGGTCCGAGGGTCGGGGTCGGAGCCGCGACCCTCACCGGGATCGCACCCGCTCCCGTTCCCGTTCGCGGTCTCCGCTGGTCCGCCGCGGCTCCGCGCCCGAGCGCAGGGAGGCAGCGGAGCGCCCGAGCTTGGAGGACACCGAACCGTCTGATTCCGGGGACGAGCTGATGGACCCGGCCTGCTTGGAGGCCGAGTACGATCAGGGCCTGTGCCGCCAGATCCGCCATCAGTACCGCGCTCTCATCAACTCCGTCCAACGTAAGGTGGCGCTTTGGGGCTGCGCGGGCCGGCGGCGTTCGTGACTGGGGAGGGTGGCGGGAGAGGCGGAGGCAGGCGAGTGGCGCGGGCTGGTGGCTTCGTTTGTTTACTCAGGGCACCCTGCGCGACCTTGGCGGCGGGCGCGCAGGTGGAAAAGCGGGAGGTCAGATCTGGTGGTGACTTAACTTGCTTGAGCTCAGCCAGCCAGTTGGGAAGACAAACAAAATAAGCACCGGGTGCTTTTTTGTTGAATCCAGCGTGGGCGCCCGAGTACGGAATCCCTCGGGATTGTTAAAATACGCGTTTCTTTTCCCATCTCGGATGCACTGCATCAGAAATGCTGGGTAGGCCCATGCGTTTGTTGCGTGGCTCTCCATGTTGACCCTGTTGCTTGCTAAATTTGACAACCGCTTCTTAGTCTTAGCCTCAGTTGAATTAAGGGCACAGGGAGCGAGTCTTTCCTGTTCAGGTTGCAGGGGCTGAGGATATGGCTGAGTGCTTCTCTTGCAAGGGTGATGACCTGGGTTAGATCCCCAGAACCCACCGAAAAAAATGTCGAACTAGTGGTGCACTTTAGTGCACCGGGGAAGCAGAGTCTCTGGGTCCCCACGGGTTAGCCCGCCCAGCTTCATTGGCTGGTTCCAGGTTAGTGAGACCTGGTCTAAAAGTTCTGATGAGGGAAAGACACCTAAGGCTGTGTGCCCTGGCCTTGTGAGCACACAAAAATTCAAGCGGCTTGAAACAGTAGCATTGCCTCTTTCTGTACAACTTGTTTAAAAAGATCAGACATTTCAAATAATTCCCCAGGAAGTGGGAGTGGGACTTGCCGGCTGTGCTGTTAAGTGACAACTGGCAGTTACCTATTAGTGAAGGATGAGCGCAATGCCCTAAGTTTGTATTCTCTTACATAGAAAACCGGGAGGACATACTGAATGCTGGTGACAAATTAACAGAGGTCCTTGAAGAGGCCAACACTCTGTTTAGTGAAGGTAACTGATGATTTTTAAAATGCGTTGTCATAATGTATACTCACCGAATTACTTTCATACAAACAATTTATCGTCTTTCCACAATTCCCCTTTACTAGGGCACTTACCAGGCCCAGAACCCTTTCCTTGTTAACAACATTACTTTCACTGTGTGCTTACTACCATTTGGCTCAGCATTTATTTAAGGGTTCTTTATAAGTTTCTGGGAGATGGGGAGGGTCCAGCACTCAGGAGGCAGAGGCAGCTGGATCTCTGAGTTCAAGGCCAGCATGATCTGCAGAGTCAGTTCCAGGACAGCCAGGGCTACACAGAGAAACCCTGCCTCAAAAAAAAAAAAAAAAAAAAAAAGGTCTCTTCCTGTGAACCTTTTGGTGGTCAGAACTTGAGAGCTTTACGTGTGTTCCATTTACTGAATAGATCAGTTAGAGAAGAATGCAGCTAGCCTCAGATATCCTGTTCCTTTTCCTGTCTTTCTCATCTCCTCTCTCTTAGCTGTCTGTCCACCCAGTGGAGGTGGCCATGTCTACAAGTGTACTGTCTGTCCATGGTGGGAGGTACTGGGGGAGAGGCATACACTTTAGGGTGTTGCAGTCTGGCTCCTGGGAGTTCTTCAGGTTTTGTTTTAAATTACATGTGTCTGTGCCTCCGTGCACATGAGTGCAGTGTCTGTGGTGGCCAGAGAGGGCAACAGATTCTCTCCCTGCTGGAGCTGGAGTTACAAGGGGGTTTGTGGGGTTGTGAGTTGCCTGACACCGGTGTTGGGTACCAAGTTCAGGGCCTCTGGAAGAGCAGTAACTCCGTGTTAGCTGCTGAACCTCCTCTCCAGTCCCATGGTGATAGAGTTTTAAACCACAGTCTTGCTTTGAATTAAAAGCAGCAGTGGTGATGGAGGTGGGGGTACTCCCTGATGTGAGCCCCAGGACAACTACACAAACCATGCCCTCTTCAGGCCTCTCGCACTGCTTTGGAAACTGCAGGGTAAACTGCAGTGATAATATGATTGCTTTGTTCCCTGATAACTGCGATTCATGTTCTTGAGGACTGTTCCCATCTAGTTGACTAGTGTGCTTGTTTTTGTAGAGTTGACTCAGTGCTCCGCGTCTTCTTGCTCTGGCCATGATCTCCATACAGTCTCCTTTCTTGGTCGAACATATACAGTAAATCACCTCCAGAAGCTAAGGGACTGGGCTTCCTCTTCTGCCTGTAACAGATCCTTTCTCCACTATCAAGCTTCTTCCATCCCTAGCCTTGACTCAGTTCCCCCATTTTAATTGCTTATTTGCTCCCCCACTGTCTACTGTACATCTTCCTGACTTCATCCACATGCGACCTCCCTCAGCTACTGCCCATGTTTAAAGCAGAAGACAAAACCATTCACTCAACGGGGCCTCAAGAGTTTCTCTGCTTGGCATCCATAGGTGTTACACCTGTTGTAATTTTTCAGAGAACTTTCCCTCATCCAGACAGGATATTGGCACTTTTCTTGTGGTGGCCAATAGAGGTGTTGGGCAAGGGCGGTAGAGACTAGAGCCTAGCAGCCAGCATCTGCTTCCTCTTTCTCTCGCTGTCACTTCTGCTATGACTATTTATTTTTGCTTTTTCAATACGAAGTTTCACAGTGTGGCCCTAGCTATCCTGGAACTTGCTCTGTAGAACCAGGCTGGTCTCGAACTCACATAGATCCACCTGTCTGTCCCCCGAGAGCTGGGATTAAAGGCCTGCACCACCGCTGCCTGGCTTTGTAGTGACTCTTGATATGATTAGACTCTTTTCTTCTGTGAAGAAAAGTGATGGATAAGAACAGAAGCCAGAGTCAACAAGCTCCCTGACTGTATGTTTGCTACTTGTGTGAGGATTATTCAGGAGCTCAGTGTCTCAAATGTAAGTGACCCTGAGGAGCATGCTGGGCTCGGGCATTTCTGTTTGATTCTGCCAGGGTTGGTTTGTCTTTTTTTTTTTTTTTTTTTTAAAAGATTTATTTATTTATTATGTATACAATGTTCTATCTGCATGTGTGCCTACATGCCAGAAGAGGGCACCAGATCTCATTACAGATGGTTGTGAGCCACCACGTGGTTGCTGGGAATTGAACTCAGGACCTCTGGAAGGAAAGTCAGTGCTCTTAACCTCTAAGCCATCTCTCCAGCCCCGGTTTGTCTTGTTTTATATTAGTTTTCCTGGACTACTATTCCAAATTCTCTGGGACCCATTAGGGGCTGTTAAACCCAGCACCCTCAGCTCTGCTGTGTCCTTCAGTTGAATGATTGTTCTCCTCTGTAGATTTCGTAACATCTCTCCTTACCTGTAGTGGACATTCCATTTGAGTTACTTCAAGTCAGGTGAGGATGGTGATTAGAATATGTGAATCGCCAGTGGTGGTAGTGCGCGCCTTTAATTCCAGCAAAGGTAGGGGATCTCTGAGTCTGAGGCCAGCTTGGGCTACAGTTCCAGTATAGCCAGGGATACACAGAGAAACCCTTTCTCACCTCCCCCCCTCCCCCAAAAGAAAGAAAGGAAGGAAGAAAGAAAGAGTTAGTCAAAGAGAGGTGTTATGCACCACACAAGTTTTTGTTATATTGGAGTTACTAAGAGATGAGGGTTCAGTGGGGGCTGGAGAGATGGCTCAGCGGTCAAAAGCACTTGCTGCTTTTGCGGAAGACCTGGATTTGATGCCCAGCACCCATGTGTCGGCTCATAAGTATCTGTAACTCCAGTTCCAGGGGATAGGTTGACCACTTATGATCTCCATGGGCATCAGGCTCATAGGCTGCAAATTCAAACATGCAGGCAAAACTTTCACATACAAAATAAATCTAGAAGAAAAAAATTACGAAATTCTGGTTTACCAGGTGTGGTGCACAGGCCTTTAATCCTAGAACTCTGGAGACAGAGGCAGGTGGATCTCTGTGAGTTCGAGGCCAGCCTGGTCTACAGAGTGGGTCCCAGGAGAGCCAGGGGTACACAAAGAAATTCTGGTTTGGTAACGAGGAATCTGAAAAAGAGAGTAAGCAAGCTTTAAGGAAGACTGGTCAGCTGTGGTTGAGATTTTAGTGAAACGGGGAGGGAATCAGGTTTTAGACGTCCGTGGGTCCATTTCCAGCCTACTGAGGCTTCTTTTGCCCCAGTGGAAGGATACTAATAGGTACTTGGGAATTTGGGAAAATGTCTGTGGTTTGTGCACGTTTGTTAACATGTATTTCTTGCTCTACAGTATCAAGAGCAAGAGAAGCAGTTCTAGATGCCCAGTTTCTCGTTCTGGCTTCAGACTTGGGCAAAGAGAAAGCCAAACAGCTGCGCTCTGACCTAAGCTCATTCGACATGTTAAGATACGTTGAAATGCTAGTAAGTTCAGAGTTAACAGAATTTTAATTAAATGCCTCTTGTAACGTCGTATTATGCGGTTATCTACTTGCTTGTATCAGTTTGCAGACGGTGTTGGCTTTGTTTCCTATTGTTCTGTTTTTGATCTCTGAATCCTCCAAGGAGATCTTAGGAAATTAACAGATTAAAGTTGAGCTGTGTGTGGGGTTTGGGGTGGGACTTTGGGCGATTTGAAACCTCTTAGCTAACTCTCTCTTCTAAGACTCCGGATGCCCTGGTTGTTTATTAGTGACCATTTCCTCAGGTACTTCATAAGTGTTCCAGGTCATCCGTCCTAGGCTGGACCAGAGTTCATGCTGCAGAGGTGGGGGTGGGGTGAGCTCAGGGTAGATGTAGGCTGGGGATGAGTTAAGCCCTGTTGTATGGTCATTTTGTCTTGGAAAAGATTTTAGAACCATACCAATATGGTGGTTTTGTATTTAATATAGTTTTTAATTCACCTGCCTTTGCCTATTAACTAGTTTGACTAGTCAGTACCTTTTCTGATGGATGTGTCCAAAAAAAAAAAAAAATTAGAGTTACTATTTTGTTTTGTTTTGAGACAGTCTCAGTGTAGTCCTGGCTGCCCTGGAACTCACTATGTAGACCAACAGACCTGGAATTTACAGAAATCTGCCTGCTTCTGCCTTTGGAGTGCTGGAATTAAAGGCATGTGCTACTACACCCAGCTAAACACCGAATTTTTAACAGTGCTTTTATGCTTAAATGATTATTAGAGTGGGTTAAGCTGTGTGTACTAGGACACACCTGTAATCCTAGCTACTTGAGATTACTACTTGCAGGAGGATTGCAAGCCAGAGTCATAGAGAGCCCCTCTTAAAAATTGCAGGAAAAGGGGTGTGGAGGTTCAGTAGTAGAGCACTTGCCTAGCGTGCATAAGACCCTTGGTTTAATATCCAATATTAAATCTTAATGTTTTCTTAGAATATTATGAAGTAGAGTGTATTTTGAAAATGCTAACTAGTATGCACATGGTATTTTTAAAATAAAAATTAGGTTAAGCTTTAACCTTTACATAACGTCTGGTTAGGGAAGCCTTCGCAAGTGTAACATCACAAGTAAGGCTCTAAGGAAAAGGCTGGGTGTGGTGGTGGTCCGTGTCTTTAATCCCAGCACGCCAGTGGCAGAGGCAGGTGGATCCCTGGTCTAGTTCCAGGCCAGCCAGGGCTGCACAGTAAGGCCCTTTGGAGTGGCTGGCCAAAGAGTGGAGGAGAACCAATTGCTTCCTCTGACCAGGCCCTTCACAGTCTGGCTGCTTTGAGGGTTTTCTAATTATTGTTTTTATCCTACTACTACTTTAACTTGAAAACTTGAGCATATTTCAGCCTGCTGTCATGAATATGCTCTTTCCTGAGAAACAAATTATCTAATACCCACTACGCCTGGCTGTAATACTCCACTTCAGTAAACTAAGAAACAAGAGGATTGCTTGGCTCATTGCTAAGTCTCCTCAGGAAGGAAGACTGTTAGAAGTCTCTTCTTGCGCATAGCTATACCGAGACCCCTTCTAGGAAGTTGGCCGGTCGCTGGGATCTGAGAGCCAGCTGAACTTCCAGTTCCATACTGGAGTGCTTCATTTTGGGGGGTCTTCAGTTGCCCTGCTACTGTTTGCTCCCCACTGAGCTGCCTGTGCTCCAGGAGGCCCCTATGTGCTAATGCCTGCCATTCTCAAGCCACTTAGGCGGGATGGAAAGGAACAGGGTTTCTTGGCCTCAGCACAAATGACGTTTGGGCTGGGTCTATCTCTGTACTGAATGCTTCTAAATGTGCACTATAGGACAGCTTCCCTGGCTTCTGCCCGCGAGGTGCCAGAGCATGTCAGCTGTTGACTGTCAAAATGTTTTGTATTGCCAAAAGACCCCTTAGGGGCAAATCGCCGGTTGAGAACTGTTAAGCTAAACTATTTCACTGTCTCCACCAATATTTCCTCACAATAAAAGGGACTTTTGAATAGGAATTTATATGTAGAGTTATCTTTGCAATAAGAAGGTGAGCTAGTCTGAAGATGCTCTCCCTCTAGCCTCTTTACTGAATTTGGTGAATGGTTGTAGTTTAACTGTTTTTTTTTTTCCTTTATTTTTTCTGTAGCTGACACATATGGGTGTAAATCCTCTAGAAGCTGAAGAAGTCATCCGTGATGAAGACAGAACTGACCTTGAATTAATTGTCTATGACTCCTGGAAAATATCAGGCAAAACAGCAGAAAACACCTTTAATAAAACCCATACATTCCACTTTCTGTAAGATTGTTTTCAAAATCCAACAGACCAGCCATTTGTAAACCTTAAACTCGTTTTTTTTTATTGTAGGGACAAAGATTGTTAAGTGGTAAAGAGGTCACTGTCCTGAGGCCGTTGTTCAGAGACCACCCAAACTTGAACCTTCTTCCCTAAATGTAAACATACCCGGAGGCAATGGATCTCTTTCTTCCCTTGGCAGGACCCTCCCAAGACCCCTCTCTGCTTGTTTGCTTCCCTCCTCAGAGACTTGGGGTCTGTAGCAGGTTTCTGATTTTGCTAGACCCCTGCAGGCTCCCTACTGAGAGTATTTTGAGATTATGGCCGTTTAGGTCTGGGGCCGTTTATTACAGCATCCTTTACGTGATCACTTACTTGCAGTTGGCTAATCTAGTCCTAGTTCTGTGGGTCTGCAGCCAACAGGGGTGGCTCACGCTGCTTCTTTGGAGACAGCCTTTAATTGTCCAGCCCTTCTTCCCCAGTAGGTGCTTTCCCTCGGGCAGCTGTCCAAAGTGTTCCCCATCCTTTCTTCCCATATCTCCAGGCTACTGGTCTCAGATCCCTTTAAGTCTGAGATTGGTAGAGTCTATGCTAGAATGCTTTGGAGCTTGGGTTGTAGCCAGGCTGTGTCCTGGCCCAGCATCTTTAACATGCCTTCTGGCAACTCAGATGCCCAGAACAATCGTGGAAACTGTAAAGACCACTCTTAATTATGTGATAAAATCCAAGTCTGTTTTTGGTTCAGTGCTAATCTCTAAGTCATTGTCCAGCTCAGTTTCTAGACACCGGAGGTGTTCACAACTCTCTCCCCATACTTGTGTTTCCCTCTCCCTCTGTCCTTTCCCTCATCTTTCTGGTGAACTTTACTTACCCACTGCTCCCAACCTGGAGGCCTCTGGTAACTTTTCCAGAGGGAATATCAGTAAATGATCAGCTTTCGCAGCCAGATCTCGTCTGCGTTTGGGTAGATATTTCTGCCCAAAGGCTCTCATAACAGTATACTGTAGGAGCCATCACATTGAGATGATGTGCAGATTAAGCTTGCTCCATCTATATTATATGCTCTATACTGTATCTATCCTACATCTATACTATATCTCAAGTATAACAAGCAAATGGAACTAGATTCTAGGGGCCTTGAGCTCTTCATGATACACCTATTACTGCTGCTTAAGGCTGTATTAGGGTTAGTTTCTGTTGTTGGTTGCAGGTTTTTTTTTTTTTTTTTTTTGAGAATAGAGCCTTAAAAGCAAAGAATCCTGTCATGATGGGTGTGTTCAGTAGTCCTTAGCTGTGAACCACTACCCTGACATACCTAGGCTCACGTGCTCATCTTTCTGACCTTAAAAGTTGCCTTTGAGTGACAGGTAAGAGGCTAGGTGGAAGATTCCGCAGGTGCATTCAGGGCTTTGTGGCAGTTCAAGTGGGAGAGAAGGTATCTGGCTGACAAAGCTCAAGGCGTTCTGGTAGGAATACAGACTGATATGAGACGTCACAGCTCGAATCTCATCTGATGCCTGGTTTGAATTTGACTGAACTTACACCAACTGCTGTTAGTCCGTGACATGGGTTCTTTTTTAAAGGAAACAGTGAAGACATGAAAGCATATTTTTCATTAGGTTGGGTTCAATACATGGAGACTTTCCTGTGCCAAAGCCACGAAGTGATCGTCCAAGACAGCCTCGCATGATAGAAGAGCAGCGGGCAATGCCTGCTCAGGTTTGTTTTCCAAACACTGCCTTCGAGACTAACCTATACCTAATATACATGCAGTTGGGTGTGGTGGTACAGAGCTTTAAGGCAGGGGGGCCTCTGGGAGGTGGAGGCCAGCTTGACTTCCACAGCAAGTTCTAGGCCAGGCCAGCTGGAGCTACATAGTAACACCCTGACTCCATAAAAAAAAAAAGTCATAAATATCTAAGTGTTAGGGTCTAGAGTCAGGTTCTGGTCATTTAAATATATTATTTAAAATGTCTCAAACATTTTGTGGATTGACCATTTTAACTCATTTTCTATGTTTTTAATAAGTTCTCCTAAACCAGAGTTTCCCACCCTTAGTGCCCTCAGCATTTAGGGCTGTAATTCTTACCGTGAGGGGATTGTCCTGGACACTGTAAGATGTTTAGACTTTATATCTCCAATATTGACAAGTGACCCCTGTGGGGACCCCAATGGGGCAAGATCGGGTCCAGTCAAGAACTACTGTCCTAAACTATATATTGTGACTTTATGTTTCATCTAAAGACAGTTGATATAGCAGTTTGGTAACATCCTTCTACTAATAAGAATATAAGAATGGGGGGATGGAGAGATGGCTCAGAGATTAAGGACACTGCTCTTCCAGAGGTCCTGAGTTCAATTCCCAGCTACCACATGGTGGCTCACAACCATCTACAATGAGATATGGTGCCCTCTTCTGACATGGAGGCAGAACACCGTATTGTATATGTAATAAATAAAATCGTTAAAAAAAAAAGAATATAAGGATGTTTCTGAGGTGAGAAGACTTTGAAACTAAATTTTAAGGCCTGTAAAAAAAGCTGGCCAAGCCTAAGCGAAACTTGGAAGCTCGGGTGTGCAAACCGAGAAGGGAAGGTCAGTGATGACACACGTGAGGGTGAGCCGGTTTGATGATGCCTTTCTTTCCCAGTTGAAATGCATGGAGGAATCTCATCAAGAAGCGACTGAGAAGGAAGTAGAAAGGATCTTGGGGTTGTTGCAGACCTACTTCAGAGAAGACCGTAAGTATGGCACCGAGTTAAAGGGTGCGGCCATTTGTGTTGATCGGGTGTGCACTTTCTGCAAGGTTATTACGGCTAAAAGGCATTTCAGTTTTATATACTTGATATTGTGATTCCCCCACTCCCCCTTATCTTCTAAGTAGTCTGTTGCCCAGGCTGGCTTCCAACTCATGGTAATCTCCCTGCCTTAGAGTCCTGAGTGCTGGAATTACAGGTTTACGAAACAACACCTGTCTCATTTTGATTCTTTTTTTTTCTGTCGTATGTATTTATTGAATCTTTTCCCCCCCTTAATACCTCACATGAGGATGTTGATAAAATTACTTATCTTAAGCCGGGCGATGGTGGCGCACGCCTTTAATCCCAGCACTCGGGAGGCAGAGGCAGGCGGACCTCTGTGAGTTCGAGACCAGCCTGGTCTACAAGAACTAGTTCCAGTACAGGCTTCAAAGCCACAGAGAAACCCTGTCTCGAAAAACCAAAAAAAAAAAAAAATTTTTTTTATGTGTACTGGTGTTTTGCCTGCTTATGTGCTTTTATTCAGCATACATGACTGGTGCCTATGGAGGCCAGAGAGGATATTGGATCTTCTGGAACCAGAGTTATAGGCAGTTGTGAGCAGCCATGTGGGATGCTGGGAATCCAACCCTGGTCCTCTGGAAATGCAATAATGAATGACTCTTAACTGCTAAGCCATCTTTCTAGTTCCTAAATTTTTTTTAGACAGTTTATGTATATGAGTGTCTGCTGGCATGTATGTAAGTGTACCAGGTTCATGCAGTGCCCTAAAAGGCCAGAAGAGGGTGTCAGATCCTTTGGAACTGGAAACTGCCTCTTAGGGATGCTGGGACCAAACCCTGGTTCTTCTGCAAGAGCAGCTAGTATTCTTAACTTCTGAGCCATGTCTCCAGCCCCTATATAATCAAAGTATCATCTGCCTTCCTCTTGTTTCCCATGAGGGTCCCTTGTCAAACACAAGATGCCTGTTACAGTGTTTTCTGCTGGTTTGGGGGGTTACTTTACACACTTTCTACACTGTGACCTTTTCCTATAGACCTTCTTCTTTATCATACAACGTGTCCTGATTTTCAGGGGTTCCCATGGTTTGGCTCAATCATAAATAATGTTAATAATCCTTATCACTGGAAAGACTCTTTGTTGCATTTTACTATTGTACAAACTGCTGAGGTGAAAATCTTTGTGTAACTTGGTATGTCTGGGCCCTTAATCTTTTTTTGTGTGTGTTTTGAAGATTATTATTTTTTCTTTTTTTTTCTATAGCTGATACGCCAATGTCCTTTTTTGATTTTGTGGTTGATCCACATTCTTTCCCCCGCACAGTGGAAAACATCTTTCATGTTTCCTTCATTATACGGGTAAGCTTTTACAATTCTCTAATATTGTTTTAGATTTAAAAAAAAACCTTCTATTTACCGAAGTACTTTCTTAAACAAGGGCATGTTTGCCAGTGGTCCCAATGACAGACTTATGTGTAATAAAATGTGGGAGGTATATGATAGGCTATGAATAAATGGGTTAAGAACAAGGCAGTTGTTCCTAAGAGTCTCTCGGGATTGAGGGCTGATGCACTGGCACAGCGGGTAAGAGCTCTTGCCAGTTCTGACCTGAGTTTGATCCCCAGGACCTACAAGGTGGAACGAAAGAACCAACATTTACGAACTGTTCTCTGACTTCCATGGGTGCACCATAGTGCCACTCCATTCCCCAAAAGAATAAATGGAGGAAAAGTAATAAAGTCAGTATGGAATCTTGTAGTGATGAGAGGGCCGGCTTGTTGGGGTTTCTGCCCTGCCCTGTTCCCCACAGCTGGCAAGCCCCAAAGAAAATCACACAGTCTCTACATTAGGTTATAAACTGATTGGCCCATTAGCTCAGGCTACTTATTAGCTCTTGTAACTTATAATTAACCCATTATTCTGATCTATGTTAGCCACGTAGCTCAGTACCTTTTCACAGCTGGGGCAGATCACATGTTGCTTCTTCAGAGTCCGGGCAGGAGTTGGAGGAATGGGCTTCCTCCTTTCCCGAATTCTCCTGTTCTTATCGCCCGCCTCTACTTCCTGTCTGGTGACCCGCCTATACTTCCTGCCTGGCCAATCAGCATTTTATTAAAAATACATGATTGACAGAATACAGATAATTCTCCTGCACCAGAATCTGTGTCCAATAAAAGTTCATTTGGAACCTGAGCAGTAATCTTTTGTGAAGAAAGATATGAGAAAAGTCTTGTCTGGAAGTTAGGATTCTTTGTGGCTGTCTAAAGTATAGATTTTCTGACTGATGAAGCTTTTTCATGCAGTAGATTTTAGTGTTTGTTTCAAACCATGTTTTTATTTTAGGATGGTTTTGCGAGAATAAGACTTGACCAAGACCGACTACCAATAATAGGTAAACTATACTATGTTCATAGAAGTTAGTTTTAGAAAATATTAAGAGTTTATGAGATGTATTTTATATTTTATTTGACTAAATGTAAGGTTTTCATTGTGTGTGTGTGTGTGTGTGTGTGTGTGTGTGTGTGTGTGTGTGTGTCAGTGTGAGATGGTCATACTCCATGGCTCAGGCTAGTCTGGAATTTGTTATGTAGTCCAGGCTTGCTTTGAACTCTCAATCCTCCTACCCCAATCAATCTTGGTGCTGGAATTACAAGCTTCTGTTTTGTTTTTTATTATTTTCTTTTTTGAGACAGGCTCTCTCAGTATAGCTCTGGCTGTCTAGGAACTCGATTTGTAAACCACACTGACCTCGAACTCACAGAAATCTACCTGCCTCTACTTTCCGAGTTGGGGGATCAAAGACTCATGCCACCATGCCTGCTTTTATTATTTTAAACCGCAGAAGTTGTGAGGCTGAGACAGTCTCACCATATATCCCTGGCTAGCCTGGCACTCTCTATGTAGAACATGATGGCTTTGAATTTAGAGAGCCACCCGTCTCTGTCTCCTAGGTACTGGGATTAAAAGCATGTGCTACCATGCCTATTAACTTCCCATTTTATTTTTGGTTGTTATCCTAGCCTTTTATGGCTGAGCCATCTCTCCAGCCCAAGTTCCCATTTTAAATAAGATTTATACAAACAAAAATTCAAACAGCCTGTCTCTTGGTTGACTGAAAATATAAACATGGTTTAAAACTGATGGATTAATCGGTATCATAATCTGATGTAAAGATTGACAACGTGATAAATGCCCCTACATTTCAGTAGTGTTTGTAGAGGCAGTCATTTGTGTGGTTTCCTTCTTTCTGACCAGCGCTCTCCATTGAGGTTCTGTGCCGTTTCATTCTTACCTACACACGACCTCTCTCTTACTCATGCCCTTGGAAAGTCTTGTGGAGCATGAAGGACTTTGATAGCAGTTACTTACTACATGTTCTCAGTTTCCTGTTGGGCTGAGTTTTTTTTTTTTTTAACACATTCTTTATTTTATTATTTTTTTAACATTTATTTATCTATTATGTATACAACATTCTCCCTCCAAGTATGCCCACATGCCAGACAAGAGCACCAGACCCCATTACAGATGGTTGTGAGCCACCATGTGTTTGCTGGGAATTGAACTCAGGACGCCTGGAAGAGCAGCCAGTGCTCTTAACCACTGAGCTATCTCTCCAGCATGCTGTTGGGCTGAGTTTTAACTGAGTGGAACAGTTATGCATGGGATTCTAGGAAATACATACAAGTCTCTTCTCAGTAGAAACTTCACAGCTATTATCAGTTGCTCTTCAAGTTACCTGTTCCGATTGATGGTGTTGGAAACTGTCTTTCAAACAGAGCCAGTGATTAATGAAGAAAATGAGGGAATTGAACAGAACACGCAAATGAGGAGCCAAGGAATTATAGCCCTGAGTTACCGTGACTGGGAGGTAGGTAAGGCCCTTCAGGCTGCCCAGTGCAGTTCTGTGACTTCGTCTGCTGTAAACCCACTGCCTGAATGTTCCTGTTTCCGACCAGGAGATTGTGAAGACCTTTGAGATTTCTGAGCCTGTGATCTCTATGAGTCAGAGCCAGCAGCGGCTAAGTGCCTGATGCCAGCTGAAGGTAACATTTCCTACACCATAGCCACACAGTTGTGTTAAAATTTTATTAGGCAGCTTCAAACCATAGTGTTTTCTCATTCATGTGAAATTTGGGGTTTGCCTCCCTCTAGTGTTCTATTCCTAGAACTGTGAACCTGGTAAGGAAGGCAGAAGGCAGGAGGCCAATGGCTGTCCCTCAGGATTCCTTACTTTGGTGTGCTTAAAAGATCTGTAGATGAAAGAGCAGGACAACTCTTAATTGGTTTGTTTTCACCTAACGATGGGCGCGTGCTCTGGACGCCTCCCCAGTGTGGCTGACCGTTCTGTTCCGTATCTTTAATAGACATAAAGCAGAGGAGGAAGGTGAGCACAGAGTTATCTTGGAGCGATGCGAGCAAATGGACATTTCTGAAATGAATTATGCTATGCAAAATTCGGTTTATACAAAGGGGAAGAGCTCTGGAAGGAAACTGTAACAATGATATGGTGGTATTCTGTACTGAAGACAGTAGTGGGTGGAAAGGACCTAGAATCTGTCGGCCCTGCCTCTCACTTTTAAAATTTTATGGAGTCGCTTCATGTTACGCATTTATTTTCATTAACTTTAAGTCTGTCTATAAAATAACTCTAGTCTGTTAGCTTCAATTTCCTCTCACTTTGAGAACTAAAATGAGCTTTTAAAGTACTGTGTATAAACTCAGTATGTGTTTCAATTAACGGAACTTATTTTGTTTCAAGATAGCTTACCTCTGTCAGACTCTTGAGGGAAAGGGAACTCCATGAGGAGTAGAGTGGCTTACCTGGCCCTGCGCTGACAAGGGGCTAGTCACTAGATGTATGTGTGTGTATAACATGTCAGCTATTAACCAGCTATCTTCCTTTCATTTTTTTATTTTTTAGAACTGGAGGCAATAGTGAAATCCTGAAAGGAAAGAAGCATATACTGTATATATGTATGATTAAATGTTTTTTAAAGATGAAGATTGTTTTTCGTAAAATGTAGCTTTTGATAGTTAATAGATTTGTCCTGGTTGTCTGTAATTAAAAGGAAATTCACTGCCATATTCACAAATGATTGTTTTTATTGTCTCTTGGGATATGGTCCCCCTTTTTCTAGTCCAATAAAAGTTTTAACTAGGTTGTCAGTGTGTAATTATTATACTTTTTAAAAAATGTTTCTTCAGTTGTATAATTAGCTGGCCAAGCTAACAGCTTGTGCCAAATGAAACTGGCTTTTTGTAGATTAAAAACAATCAAATAAAGCCGGATGGTGGTGGCGCATACCTTTAATCTCAGCACTCCAGAGGCAGAGGCAGGCTGATCTCTGTGAGTTCGAGGCCAGCCTGGTCTACAAGAGTTAGTCCCAGGAGAGGCTCCAAAGTTACAGAGAAACCGTCTCGAAAAACAAACAAACAAAAAAAACCAATCAAATATTTTTAATGTCACTTGGCCTATGCTTTATACCTAGGAAGCTGTTTTATCTTCTGGCAAGTGAAGCCGTACTGTGCTCCTGGCAGCAGCACCAAGGGTGGGCTCATCCTGCAGCATGTCTCTTTGCCCTGCTCATCCGTGTTGGGCTTTCTAGTTGGCCCTTGTTGTTCTCTGGGTCCCTTCTCCCTAGCTTTCTTTTGTTAGCATTTCCCTCTTATTGCAGGTACTTTCTCAGGGAAGGCTCTGGATTCAAGTTCTTCCTTTGTCCCAGGAGACTGCCCTATCAGTCATCCCTGCTACTTTGTCCGGTGTTTATCCTTCACCATGCTTCTTTCTTTAAAAAACAATAAGTAAAAAGTTCCTGTGGTTTTCATCTAAGCTAAGTCTTACCTCTTTAAATAAGAATCACTTATTTAAGTGTGGGGTGTGGTGGTGCACGCCTTTAATCCCTGCACCCGGAGGCAGAGGCAGGTGGATTTTTGTGAGTTCGAGGCCAGCCTGGTCTACAGAGTGAGTTCCAGGATAGCCAGAGCTGTTATACAGAGAAACCCTGTTTCAAATCAACAACAACAAAAAAGTCACTTGGTGGCTGGTTAGATGGCTCAGGGAATGTATGTTTCATACTCATGTAAAGGAAGGAGAGAATCAACTCTATAACTCTGACCTCCACGTGTGTGTTGTGTGGCATGCCCCCTTCCCATGATAGGCACACGCAGTAATACCTAAGAATTTAGTAAGAGCTGGGCGGTCTCGGGAGGCAGAGGCAGGCTAGTTCCAGGATAGGCACCAAAGCTACAGAGAGACTTTGTCTCAAGAAAACAAAACAAAAACAACAACAACAACAAAAAACAAAACAAAAAAAGAATTTAGTAAGAATCACGTGGAAATCTGTTTCAAAACCCTGGCAGATTAGCTCCTTTCTTACCAGTCTCCTGAGTCTGTTATGCCACTTTTCCCAGTTCCTTTCCGAATTGACTCCAATGGATAATGCTGTGTCTTTGATGTGAACTTCTACACTCTAAATCTACATTCTTGGTGTTTGGCTCCCTCATTATTTTACTCCTTTGTTTTATACTATAATGCATTTATATTGGGAATAGTCTCAAAACTTTGTGTTTACACTTAAAAAGACTAGATCTATGTTAAGTCATTGGTCATTTAAAAATACAATAAAACTATTTCTCAAGTCTTAAAATCTCTGTAGCAATCTCTTTTTTTTACCGTATTTCACAGGAAATTTCATTCTGGAAACTCCTCCCCTTCCCCCATCCTTAACCAGTCACTACCTTATAGTCTTTCTGTCTGTCTTGCTCAGGCTGCTGCCCAGACCCGTGTACTAGCCATTATTTTGTCTGTTCAAACCACTTGCCGTTTCCTAGTGATTATTGCTGCCTTCAAGATTTTATTTACGTTTGTGTATGTGTGTATATGATGCATGTGTATGTGTTAAGAGCACATATGTGCCATAGTGCACATCTGGTGGTTAAAAGGTGGTCTTTGGTCCCAGTCCTCTCCTGCCACCTTGTTGAAGGCAGTGTCTTTTTTGTTAGCTGCTGCACTGTGTACTACTTACTGTGTACACCTTCCATTTTGCTATAAGAGTACTGGGATTACAGATATGTGCAGCCATGTCTGGCTTTACATGAGTTCTGGGGATCTGAACTCAGGTCACCAGGCTTGTGTAACTGCTGAGACCTCTCCCCTGCTCTGCCTTCAGGCCTTTAAAAGCGTAAACCTTCTAAGGATGTTCAGAACCTTGCAGGACATCTGGCCCTTTGTCTCCATTTTCAGGATTCCTTCTCTAAACACTAGCAACCCTTTTTGTTGGAACAGCTTTGCCGAGAGTTCACCCACAATCCAGCTCATCCAATTAGGGTATGATTCAGTGCCTTAAAATCAATGGGGCATGCAATCATGACCAAAAAAATATTATAGATCACCCCTCCCCCCATCCTATGCCATCAGGGGCCATTCTGTCCTCGTTTAACTTTTTTACTCCTTAGCCCTAACCTCAACACCATGATTTTTCAAGTACGTATGTCTAGAGCTTCTGTTTTCCCCTTTGATGTCTGTTTTCTATGACCTTATTGTACTAATTACTATAAATCATGCCAATTAGAAAGAAATACAATAATCAAGGAAATAACTTAAGCTTTTTTTTTCCTTGCAAGTTGACTTTTCAAAAACGGTGGCATACTCAAGAACTCTCTTTGGCGTGGTTTTTGCACTTTATCCACTTTCGACTTTTCCATCAGAATAGTCACCTCGATAAGTTTTTCCTTGGAAGGCTGGATGATGGGGTACGCTGTGACCTTTTCAAGCTCTTTCTCTTCCTCCTCCTTCACTTGGGGTTTTAAGAGTGGACGGATGCGGCTGGTGAATTTTTGAGTCTTTCTTTGCTCGTTCTTCTGCTCTGTGAGTTCCCTCGCTTGCATCATGCGGTCTTTATGTCGCTTCATCTGTTCCTTTGCCCATGCGACTTTGGGCTTTTTGGGTACAGTTTTATGTGTTTTCTGGATAGTTTTATTCTTTTCATCTTCTGGTATTAGTGGTTTTGGGGAAAAGGTTTCACTTGGAATTCTCTGAGGTAGTAGTCTGTACTTGTTGTCCCTGAGGCCTCTTGCCCGTTCGACTCTCTTTATGTGTTTTTCTATATGATTCATTTCCCTCTTAGACACTAGATAGTCCCATTTTTTAGTGTTGTCTGGTATTTTGCTTCTTGACTTCTTCTCTTCCTCTGGGTTAATGGCCCATTCTGAATCTGGTATATAATTCCATGCCTCTTTGATCATTTCCTTATGTTGCTGATAGTAGTAGGAATCTGCCTTAGCAAACCGGAAGTCAAAAGACCTGGTCTTAAGTTTATCAACTGTTTCACTCTCCTGTTGGAACTCCTGGACTAACAGTTTTCTCACTCGTGAAGATTGGGTGCCACCTAAACTCTTGTCAGAGGGAGTAATCAGAACTTTTAAATTGGATGTCCTTTATTCTAGTTCCATAGTACAGCCCTCAGTGGGCTATTAACCCTGTCTGGCACACCTATACCACACCCAGTTTAGATCTAAGTTTCTCCCCCTTTAAGCCTCCTACACTCCTCCCCCAGACCATGATCTGTCCTAGGACTCCCTTGAGAAAATGGAAGCACCCAATAGACACCCACCACCACCACCAGAGCCACCACCCATCTATCCCAGACTCTACCTTCCTGCTTTTATCCTATCAAAACCTAATTCTTCACCTGTGCTTGTTGAACTTCAAGGATTTTACTTCTGTATCATCAAAACTGCCTACTGGGTCACTTAAATAGGCATAAAGTACACCTCAGCATAAATGATCTTAAAACAAAAGAGACTCTTCCTTACTTCAGGTCCATGGTTTTTACCCCTCTGCAATCTCATTTGCTGAATACCCCTGAGATTCTTCCCCCCCCCCCTGCCACACACACCCTTATATGGCTACCCTTATATCTGCCATACTAGTCTTAAGATAGACTAGTATGTCCTTAAGATACAGAGTGCTCATACTGAGCCCTTCTTATATGGATGCTCATTCAACAGGGTCCTCTTCCTTGGGTTGGTCCATCACTGGTTTAGGCTGAACAGGACTTATAAGCCACAGTGATGATGGGCATCAAAGAACCTCCATATGGAGCACTTCCCTGCTCTCACCTCTCAACTTCAGTCCTGGTTTAATTCATTTATTTACTGCTTTTCTTTTCCAAAACAGGGTTTTTCTGTTTAGCCCTGGCTGTCCTTGAATTCACTCTTTAGACCAGGCTGGCCTTAGCTCAAATATCCACCTGCCTCTGCCTCCCAAGTGCTGGGATTAAAGGTGTGTACCACCACTGCCTGGGAGACTTGGTTTACTTGACATCTCTGCTTGCTTCTTTCTCCAGTTTTTACCTTTTCAGTCCTATCACTTCCAGCTTTAGTCATGTTTTCCTTTAATTCTCCTGCCTCTACCACAGGGTGTTGGCCCAGTTATCTCCGTCTACACAGCTGTCCTGTCTTCCCAAGCCCGTCAAACTAATCACTGTAGGCAGAGTTACCTTTTTATTACTTAAATCTGGGCATGCCATTTCATAAACCTTCCTGCATAAACCTTTGGAAGGAAGCTCCTACATTTAGGAGAGGCTCTCACATTCCAGTATAGTGTGCACAGCCTCTTATTAATCCTCAAACCATGTTTTCTGCTCACTGTATATTCACCAAGCTCCAGCCACACTGAATTCTGTTCCCTAAGACAGTATCTGGCCCATGTGAATACACCTCCCAAATACACATCAGTAACTCTGATAAACATTTTTACAGATTTTAAGATCTCGGCTGACATCCCACTTCCTTCAGCCTTCCATACAGTCTCTCAGAGAAAACCCAGTCCTGTAGTGACATCTCAGTTTGTGGGAACTATTTCTGTGGTGTCTCTTACTAGAACAAGTCCTGTGAGTACAAGTAGCTGTTCTGTTCAATGCTGTCCAGCCAGCACTGCTGAGAACCGAATTCAGAACTAAGCACGGGTCAGGACATTCTCCCCTAAAATGCTGGGGCCCTCTTACCTCCAATAAACGTTATGACCTTATAACAGAATCCAAAGTTCATGGCAAATGCATTTCCTCACCTTAATTTTCTTTTCTAGTGGGGAATAGGAACCTACTGCAATCCGAGGGTCTTGAGAACTCCTAGCCCAGGCCAATCTAGGAGAGAAAAGAAATTACACTGGGACCGGAGAAAGATGTCAGGGAACGAGTTCTGGAATGAACTGCAGAAGGGAGTTGATTGGGGACCTGCTTTTCATAGGTAGCAGAAGGCCCTTCTCTCTGCCAACAGGTGGAACTCTGTGTATGTTTAGCTTCTGTCTTCACCAAAATGAAGGCATGTTTGTACTTTTGATTAAAGGCTACACAAGGAGCCATATTTTGTCGGGGGTTGTAACTGTCAGAAACAACCTTAGCACTGGAAAGACTGAGTTGCTGTTACTGTTTCAATTACCACAAAGCACTGTCTATATTTTAAGTAGAAAAAGTGTTTTGATATGAAAAATTTCAAATATAACTTTATTTTAATTGAAGTTGTATGTAAATATATAATAGATTTCCCACAATAGTTACCTAACTATAATATTTTGTGATTCTTACCATTTAAAAATAAATTATTTATTTTGGTTGTGAATCTTGCCTTTAATGGTTGAGCCATCTCTCTAGCCCATCTTTCTCTCTGCCTGCCTGCCTCCCTCCCTCTCTGCTCGCTCTCTCGCTCTCTCTTATCCCCCCCCCCCCCTCTTTTCCCCCCCCCCCCCCCCCCCCCCCCCCCCCCCCCCCCCCGTTCCTTCAGACAGGTTTGTAAAGAAATGGCTCCTTTAGAGGCAGCTTTCTGGCTTAGTCCTAGTGGCAAACACAGGCGCGGGCAGCTCTTTTAAGAGGCCTTGCTACTCAACACTTGAATGGGGTTCATGAGCAATGGGTGGTTTGCTACTTGGTGGCAGTGTGAACCCAACAACTTCTGCTAGCTGGGCGGTAAACATGGCTCCCGTGGTTGATACCTCCACCATAAGGCTAAGCTCTTACAGAAGCAAGGTGGGAGGAGCCAGGCCAACCACCACTTGCACCACTATACACTAAGTTGAGCAGTGCCAGTGACTAACATACCAGTTTAAGATTCATTCATCTCATGCCATCCAAAACCAACACGGATGTTCAGTAAAGGTAGATCCCTCTAACTGGGTTACAGTGTGATTAAAAATGTACACAGGCTTGGGAGAGAAAAGAGAAATGGTGTAGACAGTCACAGAAAAAAATAGTTTAAAAATAAAAAAGTGTTTAAAGAAAGAATAAAGTAATATAACTTTAAAAAGCCACACAAAGATGGAAAATACATGGGGAGTCTGAATCCTGTATGTTCTTGTGTTGTCTTAGAATTTTATGATTGCTGATGAAGGAACAATAGTTGCTAAGATACAATGGATTATGAAAACTGCTGGATTACATCAGTTTATTTCTTTTAAAAAATCTTGACTTCAAAATGGAAGTCAAATGTGTGTTGCTTTGGGGGAACATTTTTGCTTTTATTTCCACAGAAAACAAAAGACTGTATTTATTCAAGGTTAAAGATGATCAGGCTTGATCAAGGAGGTTCCCCCACTGAAAATCCTGACTACAGACATAAAGAAATAGAAGAACTATAAGATATGTGATGTATATTTTACCTGCTCAAACAAAATGAAAATCATATTTGGCTAACTTGTGTACAACACACAGTATATACCTGTATTAATGCAGACATGTATGTTACCTGTAAAAGTTTGTCTATTTTCAGAACAAGGGGACCAGGTACCAGTGAAAATGGATGGCCCAGGTGATTCAGCATCTCAAAATACTTCTGTTACAGTCTCCTCAGAATCCAAAACAGCTTCAAGGCTGCTGGCTGATATGGTCCAGCCTCACATCCTTCTCCAACCAAGACTTAGTCATCATCCTGATTTTCTCAAGGTTCCCCCAAAGATGCCGGCACCCCCAAACCACAGGAAGCAATCTAGAAAAAACTATGTCCACATTCCCAAAAGATGTATTATGGATGTTTGTTATCATTTAAGGGGGTTGGTTTCAAGTTGTTATTGGTCATAGAAAAAAACTAGACAAAGAGGTTAAATTCAAAGATCTCTTTCTAAAGAAAAAAAGGAGGATATGATATAGGAATGACAGGAAAAAGTAGATTATTGAATGTAATCAAAAAAGCAGCTGTTAATTTGTTTTACACTGGTATGGATTTTGATTTATTAATACACATTTCAAATTAATTTTGTTATACTATATGTTTCTGCTTTTATTTGGGGTATTGTGTGCAGATAAATAGCCATTTATAATAGTCAAACTGAATAGTCATGTTAGGTATGTTTTCAAGGTCATATACAGATATGGCAGTCAGACGTATCTTCTCCTGACAGCACCTTCAAAAAAAAAAAAGATAATGGGCATCAAAGAACCTCCATATGAATTTAATTTCTTTATGGCAAAAGCTAGCCATTTGGGCAAACAAACCGCCCTTGCCTCAATTGCTGATAGTATATTGTCAAAACTGGACCAGCAGGATGCAAAAGAAGTGACTGCCAAACTTTGCTATGAACAAAATTCTCTGCTTCTCAGAAATGTCTGTCAGATATACTAGGCCTGTTGGCCAAAGCTGGATGCCTCAATGTTACAGAAGAACTTTGGGTGACTGTTCCAGTCATTAGGGAACATTACACCCTTCTGGGGTCTTTTGAGGGAGTTTGAGACTAAATAATTAAAGTTTTCCTTAGTTATGATAAAAAGCAAATTAGGTATAAAACTTTAGACTCACAAAGATAAGCGATAATAGTGTTTTCTCTAATTTTGTCATATACAAACAGACTGGATAGTGTAACTAATTCTTACCTGAGAATTGTTTTTTGCTATATATAATTTTACTGTGTTAAAGTTAAAACCTTCCTTTTTATTTAGACAAAAAGGGGGAGATTGGCCAATAGCTAGGTAGGGTTTTCAGGGCAGATAGAATGCTGGGAAGAAGAGCGGAGTCTGAAGAGTCACAAGCCAGACACAGAAGAAACAACATGGAAAAGATGAATAGAAATGGTTTAATTTAACTTGTAAGAGCTGCCTGGAGACAAGCCTAAGCTATCAGTCAGTCAACTTTTTATTAACAATAAGGAGAACATATTTTCATAGTGTACAGAAGGGGTATTCCACAGCACAGGTTCTCACTAGTAACTCAGAGAGCTGCCTACTTCTGCCCCTACTATGCCTATTAATTTTTAAATTGATTATAAAACAATCAGAAGACAAATTTTAAAACTTAATGAAGGAAAATATAGCAGGAAAATTGTTCTTTAGGATGGAGTAAAGTCACACTAACCTGATTAGTAAGCAAATTAGTGCTATGTTTGTCAATTTACACATAAACACTTGTTTATTTGCGACAGAAAGTTTTTTATAACAGAATTGTACAAAACCTTTGTATCTGTCGTTAATTTCATTTCCACTACTTCTTTAAGAGTTTATGTTTCCATAGCAATGTTCCTTGAATTTACACTAGGTATTGTTATAGAAGCCTACATGGAGTTACTTAATCTTCCAAACAATCTTAAGAGGTTAGTATTCATTATTCACTGCATGTGGCAAGAAGAATGGAAGCCATGAAAGTTATTGACTCGTTAGTGGTCCTCGTGTTAGTTCCTTAGGCCAGTGAGTCCCATGGGGCTCCATTTGTAACCATACATAGACATATATTCTTTTGCCTATATCCCAAATGGAGGGAACACTTACTGTTCCTCTGCGCTCATACCGAACCACTCTGAGTCTGTCACCATGGGTGGCTGTGAGGTGACAGCCCTCAGTGTTTCTCCGTTCTGCTGTAGGAGGCTTGCACTGCGTGTTCTCCACGAAGCCCTTGTGTTCCCTTGTGCTGGCTCTGTGGTCTGGTGCGCTTTCTCCGCAGCGTTCTTGGCTTCAGCCGTTGCTAGCTTCATGAACAGCATCTTTGCTCTCCACCTTGCCTCTCACCCTCTTGTCCCCCAAGCTCTTAATTTCTCATTCTCTAGTCTACAAAGAACTGCTTTCTAGCCACTGACTTTGTGCCCTCAGTTCAGATTTTCAGCTGCCCCCTGTTGATCATGGAGGATGCCTTGGGTTGATTTCTAAGGCAACGCAAAGCAGTCACAGGTTTCTGTGTCATCACTACCCCAGAAGGAGCCCACTATGAGGTGGTGTATGACAGTATCGTCTGTAGGCAGGAGATGGACCATCCTTTCGGGTGAGCTGGTCAGCAACCAGAAGGAACCATTCCTTAAGACAGGGACTCAACTACAGAATATGGTCAAAACTAGTCTCTAATAGCACTGAAGGCATCTTTTCTCTTTTTGTGCTTTAGAACATAAACCGTACACACTCCATGTGAATGGATCATACCTATCTGTGCTGTTGAAGGCTAGATATGTACGCTGATTGTGCAGTCACGTGGTCTCATTTAGCAGTTATATCACTCAGCTAAATACTGCTTTGATAGTTTGATAGAGGTTTTTATGTTTTATTTTTATTTTTTGGTTTTTTAAAGACAAGGTATCTCTGTAGCTTTGGTGCCTGTCCTGGAACTAGCTCTTGTAGATCAGGCTGGCCTCGAACTCACAGAGATCTGCCTGCCTCTGCCTCCCCCGTGTTGGCACTAAAGGTGTGCACCACCTGGCTGATAGAGGTTTTAATATATCTTTAGTCACAGTATTTAATTTATACTCATAACCGACCAGCTATGACACCTTGAGAAGAATGTATTCATTCTGCTCTCATTGGATGAATAATTTATAGGTGTCAATTAAGTCCAATTGATTGATTATGACATTCAATCCGAGTACATCTTTACTGATTTTCTTCTACCTCTTCTCTTCTGGATCTGTCAGCCACTGAGAGGCAAATACATCTCCCACAGAAAAGTGGATTCACGTGTTTCTCCTCCAGTTCTATCAGTATATACTTCATGTACTTGGGCATTCCTTTGTTGTGTGCACACACGTTTAAGACTGTTATGCCTTCTTGAAGAATTGGTCATTTTATCGTTCTGTGATATTTCTCTTTATCCCTAATTTGTATTGCTATTGAGCCTGGTCTATGAAGCTGATTTGGTTTAAAGTTTCTCAGAGCAAGATGTTCTTACTCATCGTTTCTATCCACCTATTTTTGTTTGGAGTGAGTCACCTGCGGAGAACATTTGTTATTATTTTGACTCACTATGTAGACCAGACAGGCCTCTTAGCTTGTTTTCTTCCTGCCTCCACTGTCTAACTGGTGGGATTCCTCATATGTATCACACCCAGTACTGGGTTTGTTTTTGGTGGGGGTGAGAAGTATATCCAGAATCGAATTTAGAGCCTCTTGTACCCTAGGTAAGAACCCTGTCATGAAGCTGTGTCTGCTCAGGGACGGTTTGTTTTTTTCAATTGGTGTACTGAGGTCACTGACATCTAAAGTAATTATTGGTTGGATTGGTGTCATATTTATTAGTTTTCTATAAGCTTTTTTGTTTTATTTTTTTTTTAAGCTAGTTTTTTCCTATGTAGCACTGACAGGCTTTGACCTCTCAGTGTAGGTCAGGCAGGCCTTGAGCTCACAAAGAATGCCTTGGCTTCCTGAGTACTGGGATTAAAGGCATGAGCCACCATAGAAATATATGTTTATCATCTTTCTTTTCCTGCATTTTTAACTTTTATTACTTAATGATTTCATTTTCTTCTTAGCATATCGACTACACTTATTTTTTTAAATGGTTGCCCTTGAATTTATAGTATATGTCTACAATTAATACAAGTTCTTTCCAATACAATATACTACTTTGCAGGTTATACAGTACCTTGAGATTGGAGAATCTGCAGTTCCTGTCTCTCATCCTCATAACCCTACTGCTATTCATTTCCAAAGCTGTAATTATCACATTACTTATCCATAAACTATAATTACTAAATACAAGTTGCTATTATTTCATTCAATCATTGTGTCTGAGCAATTAAGATTTAAAAACAAATTATTTTACATCCACTTTTCTGTGTCTAGAGTTTTTTCTTTCTTTAGAACATCTGAATTACTTGTTTTCCTTTTCCTGAAGAATTTACATTTGATGCAAAACAGGCAGACTAGAAACACACTTCTTTATGGGAAAGTCTCGATTTTTCTTCCATTTTGAAGGATAAATTCTCTGGACAGAATTCTAGGTTTTGTTTTTCTTAGAATACTTAGAATATGTCATTCTTGTTTCCATGGTTTCTGAAGAGAATTCAGATATACAGAATATAGTTTTGTTTTCACTTTCTCTCTGTACTATTCCATTATTTTCATGGTTTTTCTGCAGTATGAAAAACCTCTGGGTTGCTTTGAAAAAAATATTTTATGTGTGCTTGTGTACACAAGCGGGTACATTTTTTTTTTTTAAAACCACTGTGCTAGTGTGGAAACCAGGGAATTAATAGTGGGAGTCAGTTCTCTCCTACCATGTGGGTCCAGGGATGAATCTGTGCAAGATGAGACTTTGCAGTAAATGCCTGCACCTTCTGTGTCATCTCACCAGCCCTTTGTGTAGCTTTTTGGAGGCATTTTCCTGCTTGGTATTTGATAACTCTGTTTGGAAAATTTAGATTTAAATAAAACTAAAAATTTTGTTCCTCAGTGATATAAGCTCTTTTTTAGGTGGTCAGTAGCCTCATGTAGCTAGTTAGTACATGCCAGCCTGAAGAGCCAGGTCTTGACAAGATGGATTCAGTCTAGGTCTCCTGTGAGTGGTGCACAGAGGAAAGCGTCTTCCGGGAGTCTACTGCTACCAGCCCTCTTCTGCCCTTTCCCACTCTGAGTCCACTTTCTCTGGAGAATGCTTTCCTTCTCCACCCTCAAGTTAGCTGTTTCTGTCTCTGGCTTCCCTTAGGTCGCACCTACTCACAGAATCCCCTCGGGGTCAAGGAGACTGTTTCACTTACATTCCTTTAATTGCACTTGTGGGCCTGCTACTACCATGCAAAAATCCTTCACTGTTTCAGTGTGCAGTGCTTCACAGACCAGATGCCACACCTGTGTGCTGAGCTACTGAAACTGAGTGGTGCAACTTGACAGCTGTGTCCTGTCGAGAAAGAAAGTGAAAAGCAAAGACAACTCTTCCTTACTCCTTTAATAGAGGGAACAAATTGAGCTTTCCTTTTCCCTCCCCTCATTTGGGCCTATAATAGAAACCACTGATTCACACAGGTCTACCTTAGGACCTATTGGGGTTTTGTTTGTCTTGATAGGATCTCATTGTGTAACCCTGACTGGCTGGAATTCCCTATGTAGATCAGGCCTCAAATTCAAAACAATCCATCCTGCCTCTGCCTCCTCACTTCACTCCATATGGGGCTTACTGGTTTCTTTTCATTACTGTTAGCCCTCTTGGATGTCCCTTACTAGTTGTATACATTCAGTGAGTTATTCAGCCTCTCTGGCTGATGTCATTCATCTGGTGATGTTGCTGTAATCAAGGTGAATTAACATACACGCCCAGGATTTTGGACATTCTCATTATTATCGCTCAAGGTTGGAATATTCTAGAGCCCACTGGCTAAGGTTGAGGCGAAGTGACAGAAGAGTTTAGTTGTTTCCTCTTATCTGCTGTTATAGCTATATTTTCATTAACTCAAGACGCCCAGTAGGTATTGGGAACTGTAGATGACAGTAGTTGAAGGGGCTCCACCAGCTCGAGCTTGGCAAACCTGGCTCTGGCAGACCTTGCCCTTCTCCCTGGCTCCATCTGGCTTGCTAAAAACTGTTAGATCACACTCCTAAAACTACTCCCTGCCGTCTATTCCCTATTTGCCCACCCCCTCCTCTTGAGGCTGACTGCTCAGATCCAACTGTCAAGGTACTGAAGTCCATCATTTAAAAGTCTGGTCTTGGCTCACCTAATTAACGCGTCCAATTAAAATTAAACACCTCTCCCTAATTTCCCCTTTTACCATTATAAACTGCCATTTTCCTGTAGGCTATGTTTGTCTCCTCTCCATCCAGAGGCTGTCCTTTGTCCTGTTCCCAGGCTCCCCTCTCCCTCTGCCCCCCTCCCCTCGGACAAATACCCCCCCCCTTCCTTAAGTCACCAGGTCATGAACTTTCAACCTTAACTAGAAACATCGCCAGCACAAACAACCTTAGGTCCTAAGGTCAAAAATATTAAAATTTACTTGCTTATATATTTAATATACATTTAACTGCAGGTGCAGGGGTGCACACCTGCACAGTGGACCCTGGGGCAGGGGTGTCAAGGGTTCTAGACCATCCTGAGCTCCATTAACAGTCGAAAAACAGTTTATTCACGGGCAGGAGAGATCAGTTTATTCACGGGCAGGAGAGATAGGGCTCAGTGGCAGAAGACGCAGGGCTTGGCTCCCAGCAGCACATATGGTAGCTCAGGACGGTCTGCCAGTAGGGTTTCAGGGGGTCCAATGCCTTCTGGCCTCCTCTGGCATAAGATGAAGGGGGGACATATCTCTGCTATTCGCAAGCAGGACAGGCGCAAACAGAATTTTTCAAACATGTTTCATGATTTTATTTTCTCGACACTGCACAAAGGTATTGTTAACGTTATGGTTGCCTATGGAAATTACGGTGCCACGGACTGAAACTGTTGCACCCAGAGGGAAAGGCTCAGGCGCATTCCCTTGGCAGAAGTATGTATCAAGCTCTCATTCCCTAAAACATGCTCTTTAAAACTGATCGCAAATTGGAGACCCATGGGATAAATTTAGCCTATATAAATGTTTGGCTTTTTATAGAGTTAGACGCTCTTTCTCAGTGATATTTAAAGACTTTGTGCATAAACCACCACCTAGGTTTCTACCTTCCCTCTAAAACACAGGTGGCACTTTGTCACTAGCCAATTAGCTCCCTCGCTGCCCGGGATGTTGCGCTCTTCTTCTCTACCATTTAAGCCAGCTGGTTTGGAAAAGACTCTGGCGGATCCCTTACAGGTGGCCTG